TATCGATGGAATTGTATGCAGCCGACTTTTGCGCTCACATGCGCTCCTCTGAGGCCTCACGGTGATACAAGCCGTAGTTGAGCGCGATTAGGACCCATATTTGTTTCAAAAACACAATTTATGACCATCCTCTCAACTGTAGACATGTAGATTGTAAAGGAAATATGTTTTACATCAGCCAATAATTGCTGAGAGGTTTTCTCATCCTCCCTTCTCTCATGACAACACGTTCATTGTGCGTCTTGAGTAACGCGCAGTAACGGGATGTCGGAAATGATAACGGCGTTATAGTTACTGTCAAAGTAATTAGTTAGATTACTCGTTACTGAAAAAAGTAACGGCGTTAGTAACGCCGTTACTAATAATGCCGTTATTCCCATCACTGAGTATAAGGACTAATAAATGATTAATAAATACAGATTAGGAGATAGGAGAATACAGATTAGGAGAAGTTAGATGTAGGAGAAGGACTAATAAATGATTAATAAATACAGATTAGGAGATAATTAACCATAAATAATACACTATTTAGTAAGTAAGTAAGTAAGTAAGTAAGTACCCGCTCCCATCTCTGTGTGGAGTGAGAGGACAAATGCCCAACCCTAACCCAACAATTGTAAACTGCTTTGTGACTCTGGTCTGTGAAAGGCGGTATATAGATAGATTACTTACTTACTTACTTTCTTAGATTAGGAGATAATTAACCATAAATAATACACTAATTAGCACATCATGTTCCCGGAGATTCTTTACCTTATTGAAAATAAGGCTCCTGTGTGTTTATTATTGCATTTCCTGTGTTTGTACTGCTTGATTCTCTAATCTGTTGGTGAATCTACAACTTTGTAAAGTCCAGACGACTGCTTTGGTTTAGACACAAATCCATAAAACTGTAAGGATTAAGTCAGACGACTCTGTCCATGTTATTTTACTGCTTCAGGCGTAGTTTGGCTCAGAACTGGAGGACCTCACTCTGACAGAGGCAAGCAAACCTCATGAGTTTGAAAGGAGGTCCCCAGCTTCATGAAGGGACAGTGAGAGCGAGGCCCTGAGAGTGCAGCTCCGCACAGCGCCCCTCACTCCTCCACACTCTGCTGCTGGCCCTTTAAAACAGGGGCTGAGCTGTGCGTGCAATCCGAGCCGTCTGCCTCCGAGACACCGACACTGACGCCTCGCTCTGGATCTCACCGGAATTAAAGCCTCTGTGCGTGGACTACGACAGACCGACGCCGCGTCATTCTGACGGCAGCTAAACTCTGAGTGGGATATTTGAACAGTCTTTCTGTACTCTGTCCAGCGGATCATTGGGAGTACGTTTTACGCACGGATTCTACCACCGCGGACGCTCATATGTGGGATATCTCTGGTCTACGGTAAGAGCTGACAAGGCCATTTCTGACAGTCCAGTCCAGCGTGGACTTTGTCTCCAGGTTACGCTCATGTGAACAGACTGTATTTACCCGTTCCTACGGCCCCGCGCGGCGTTTGTGTTCAAGAAGTTTGTGAGTAACTGTGAAAGCCTTTGATCCCACGCTTAAAACACCCCCCTCCCCCGCGCCTCTGTGCGTAAATGTCCTCCCTCTGTGCGTAAATGTCCTCCCTCTGTGCGTAAATGTCCTCCGTCTGTGCGTAAATGTCCTCCGTCTGTGCGTAATGTCCTCCGTCTGTGCGTAACGTCCTCAGTCTGTGGTTATGGCTCATTCCACTGGAGCCTGTTAATCACAGAGATCACGAACACGTGGACACAATTGTCACCTCGGATAACCCCGTACACAGTTTGCCCTCTCCCTGCGGCTGCCTCTGTCTCCCCCTGTGTATTTTTCTGTCTCTCTCCTGGTGTCTCCTGGTCTCTGTCCTGGTTTCTCACTATGTGGAGCCAGTTCTGTCATTCCAGAGTTATAATTAACTTGTTATAAATCATAAGTTGTAGTAAACACAGGCTGAAGGAGGCTGTTCCAGCAGAGGGGGGAGGGCAGAATGGCTGTGTAAGGAGATCTCACGGCTTTTGTGTGAGTGGGGGTGGGAGCCCAGAGGTCGCCAGGCGTGTAGAGTGAATGGATCTGTGCCCCCCACTCACCCCCACCCCCTCCCAAAGTCAATTCGCATCCAGGCACAAAGAGAGGCTTTGAAAGGAAGTGATTTGCATCGTCTTTAGGGGGAAGGGTCTGAGCCGTGTCCAGAGAGAGGGTCTGAGCCGTGTCTCAGGCAGCGGCTCTCGCTCCTTCTACAAACACGTTATTTATGGAAAACATAACTTTATACTTTAACCAGAACCCAGTGAGTCAGAAAATGACTCTGAGCTGATTGGCTGCTGAGAGAGACTCGGGTTTAGTCTAAGCTCCTCCTTCTGTATTTAGTCCTGGTTTAGTCTAATGCTGCTTTCAGACCGCCAAAGCTGAAGCCTCGCTCACCAGACGCACATTCTCTAGTTTTCAGACGCAGGGGTCTTCAGACCAGAAGTCCTGACGCGTGGCGGAAGTAGCCGGCGGGTTTTGATGCTAACAGAGTTTAGCTAGCAGCTTCTTGTGTAAAGATCTTCTCCAATAAAGCCTAGTATATAGTCGCGCGGAGCTTACGGTGGTAACGTAACGTGACGTCACTTGCGCTACGCGTGGATGACCGCAAGGCCCTTACGTAGCCTGCCGCGCACCTTCGAAAAATAACTACTCAAGGGTCGCCGCAGAGAAGCTCCACTGTGATTGGTCCGTGTGTGATTGCTCCTTCCACAGACTTTATATAACAGTAGTATGTGTTCACGGAGGTGCGCAATAAGTTTATTTTATTATTAAATGGTACTTCCACATCGGCGAACACACTCGAAGCAGTTGCTTAAAGTCACAGGAGTACGAAAGCTCACATGTTAACCCTGGTTTAGTTCTGATGTAGCTCCTGTTTTGGTTGTTTACAGTATGTTCAGTCTGCTCGCTCAGACCCCTAATGTCCCCATGACCACTTTGCAGCTCTCTGATTGGTTGCTGCACGAGCGTCCCGAGGAAAGAGTTCAGCAAAATTCATCTCCTGCGTGCGTCGATTTTCCGCTCCTGACTTTCCCACGCAGTCAGTGCGTCTCTACTGAGCAGTCCGTCCGTGCATTCCAAGATGCTCGTGCATTTTGACGCTCGAACGTGACACGCGTCACCATTGACTTTGCATTGAAAGCCGACCCAACGCATGACCTGGTGCTTTCAGAATGGGACAGTCGTTGCGTCTGCGTTCAATGCAAAGTCAATGGAGAGGCGCGTTTCAGCGTCGCATTGCACGGACCTCTCGGCACACACGCACGGACCGCCCAGTAGAAACGCACGGACTTGGCGGGAAAGTCAAAGGGGAGGAGAGGGAGCGGAAAATGAACGCCCACAGGAGATGGATTCCGCTCAACTTTTCCTCGAGACGTTCGTGCAGCGACCAATCAGAGAGCACGCACACCACTGACGTAATCACGCCACTACACGGCGTATGTTTTCCCCATTGAGAGCCAGGAAGCGGTAATTTAAACATGGAGGATCAAGCTGTGGATAGTCTCATTGTCGCTGTTACAAACTTTCCAGAGTTGTGGAAAGTCTGCATTCCGGAATATAGCGACAGAGCAAAGAAAGATTCGGCATGGAAGGCCATTGCGCAGCAGCTCAACCTCCCTGGTAAGTTTTTTCAGTATCAGTGTAGTGAGGTGGGCATGCTTGTGTTCGTGCGTCGTTTGGCAGTGTGCAAGCCTCTGCGTCTGAAAACTAGAGAATGCGCGTCTGGTGAGCTGGGCTGCTGCGTTTCAGCGTTTTCGGTCTGAAAGCACCATGAAGCGCCTCCTTCCGTATTTAGTCCTGGTTTAGTCTAAGCTCCTTCTGTTACGAGTCATTTCTGTTTCATTTAAACTGGTGCTGATCACAGCAGACAAACCTCAGTGTGTTGCCTCAGAGCAGACCAGTGTCTGAGGAGGAGAGAGAGGAGGACACAACAGTGTCTGAGGGGGAGAGGGAGGAGGAGCAGAGACAGAGGCACACTTCCGTCAGAGTTACTGTTGCACACGTGTCCTTTTGAAGTCTGCGGATCGTAAACAGTGAAAGTAGAACAGTCTGCTAGAGAAAAGGGGGGGAGAGAGGGGGCAGGGGGGAGAGCGATTGATGTCTGTGGATGCAGCAGTGATAGCGGTGTTGTCAGATGTTTAGACTGTTGGGAATCCGGTAACGTCATAATTTCACTTTTACTCTTTAACATTCTACAACATGTATGGAACCTTTTTTGTTTGTGTGCTTTATATTTTTCATGTGTTTTAACTGTTGATTCTCTGATCTGTGTTGGTGATTTTAATGGTTTTGTTAAGTCCTCTCAGATGACTTCTGTTGTGACCTAGGGCTATACAAGAATAAATTGTATTGTATTGTACTCAAAGTCTGAGGTTAAAGAACAAAACGAAAGTGCCGTAGACCTAGGACTGAGGCCGTAGACCTAGGACTGAGGCCGTAGACCTAGGACTGAGGCCGTAGACCCACCTGTACTTGTGTCCAGTCTCTGGTGCATCATGGGAGGTGGGTCACTAGGCTGCAGTCATCATCAGGCTCTTACAGCAGGAGGAGGATCTTTCTGATGAACATGGATCATATCTGAGATGTTTCCTTTTGAAACTGTTTTTCATCTTCCTCTGCACCAACTGAGTCAAAACAAAACCTTTTATGCTGTGATTAGTTCAGATGATTCTTTCTGGTCTCTCTCTCTCTCTGGTCTTGCTCTCTCTCTCTCTGGTGTTTGTCATCCTTAAATACAGTAAAGTAAAGAAAGTGCTCTGTCCCCCTGAGGCCTACTTCCTGTCTCTGTCCCGGGTCCCCCTAGTGTCCTCTGTCCCGTCACATGGTGCTCTCCTCTGTGGGTGTTGTTGGTTTAGTTGCGTCAGTTTCCTGATGTGTCACATGACACATGCAGTTGTTGTGAAACTGTGGATTGTTTGAGTATTTTAGCCTCATCTTCAGAATCTCGTCTTTAACCGAATGTTAGTGTGACTCCTCCATGGAATGAGTCTGTCTCCTCCCCTCTGGTTGGTTCTCCTCTCCTCTGGTTGGTTCTCCTCTCCTCTGGTTGGTTCTCCTCTCCTGGTTGGCTCTCCTCGCCTCTGGTTGGTTCTCCTCTCCTCTGGTTGGTTCTCCTCTCCTCTGGTTGGTTCTCCTCTCCTCTGGTTGGTTCTCCTCTCCTGGTTGGCTCTCCTCGCCTCTGGTTAGTTCATTAGTAATTTAAACAGGGAAATCAGGGACTTAAAACTAAAATAAAAGCACCAGGTGACTTCTGTTTCAGTCGTAGCTTGTTGATGGGTTTGCTCTGAGGGTTCACATGTTGTTTTGGCCTTAGTCGCATTGTCTGGTGTTGATGGTGACCATGTGACCTCTTTCTTCCAGGGAGAAGGAGCTCAGGGAGATGTTCGTCTGCAGAAGTTGAGAGCAGAGTCGATCCAGAGGTGCTAACTTCACACGGTAAGTACCACCACCAGACCAGAGGGAGGGAGGGAGGGAGAGAGACCAGAGGGAGGGAGGGAGGGAGGGAGAGAGGGAGAGAGACCAGAGGGGGACTCTGGTCTGTCTCTGTCCTGGTTAGTCTTCCTCTCTCCTCTTCCTCACGCCTGTTCTAATGAGATTACCCCTCTGGCAGCACACAGAGCTCAGGCTGGGGTACAGGGTTTTCTGGAGGAGCTGGCTCAGCTCCAAGTCCTGGTTCTGGTCCTGGCTCCGCTCCAGACTCTGAGCATCTGCTGTGGTTAACACGTCACAGCACCCTCTGCAGGACACACACCGCTCTGCACGCTCCAACAAAGACCTTCTGCTGTGTTCTGTGTAGAGGGTCACGTTCACAGACGAAACTGAAACAAACAAAGGTTAAAACAGATTATCCTCTTTGGAAGCCTCTGACACCAGTTGTGAGACTGTTCTCGTCTTGGGATCAACATCTGGTATTTTATGACTTAATAAATGCAAGGTTTATTATCACAATTTACACACAGCATAATAATAATGACACTGAGCTTAAGTTAATGACAGATGTTTTCTCAAACAGTGAGGACAGGATACAGGACCCTCGCCCCCTCTGCTGAGATTGCGGCTCTGAGGCTGAGACTCTGGTTCTGTCTGTTGCAGGTCTCTGCTCTGGTTGTAGGAGTTTCTCGGTGCTGGAGTGAGTGCTCTCTGCGACAGTGGAGGGCTCTAAACACACAGCTCGTCTGGTGAGGACCGACTCTGAGAGGACCGACTCTGAGAGGACCGACTCTGAGAGGACCGACTCTGAGAGGACCGACTCTGAGAGGACCGACTCTGAGAGGACCGACTCTGAGAGGACTGACTCTGAGAGGACTGACTGACGCTGTGTTTCAGGCTGAATGCATCCCGCGGTGGAGCCGTTTGGCAAACGGGACTCTTTCCCTCTGGACGGACTGAACAGAGGCCCATGGGGCCCAGTGGGGAGGCCCTCATGGCAGCCGTCTGCCAGGTACACGCACGCACGCACGCACACACACACAGCTGTAACCTGAACCCTCTCTTTGTTCTGTGTTCAGGTGTACACCTGGTATGAACCAGCACCAGCTTCATCTACCTCCTGGTCACATCGGACTCAACCATCACAGTAAATACTTCAACCATGGGTGAGTCCATGACCTGTGGGAAAGACTGTAAGACGGTGCCGGTAGAGTCTGACTTGCTCTGTGTCTGTAGAGCTCTTCGTGGAGAGAAGCTGGAGATGCCTCCTCAGATGTTGGCAGAGCTTCAGAGGGAACAGAGACCTCCTCACAGGGCCTGGGAGCACCTGGGGCCTCTGTACAACCATCTCCAGCCTCACGGCCCCATGGTCCCACTGCCCAGTGAGCACTCTGTGCGCCTCCACAACATGGGCATGGGGTACCACCCTGGGGGGCCAATGAACCCCCACCTGCCCCCCAGCAGGCCCAGCCAGCCCCTCAAGGTACTGTGGCAGTTTATTTATAATATATATATATATATATATAAAAATAATTAATCAGTGCCATGCGAAAGTTTTGAACCTTTCAACATTTTGCCACATTCGGGAAATTTATTGGATAATTTAAAAAAAAATTGACAAATAAAAAACTGAGAAGTGGGGCGTGAAATATTATTCGGCCCCTTTACTTTCAGTGCAGCAAACTCACTCCAGAAGTTCAGTGAGGATCTTTGAATGATCCAATGTTGTCCTAAATGACTGATGATAAATAGAATGCACCTGTCTGTGATCAAGTCTCCGTATAAATGCACCTGCTCTTTGATAGTCTCAGGGTTCTGTTTAAAGCGCAGAGAGAACCATGAAGACAAAGGAACACACCAGGCAGGTCCGAGATACTGTTGTGGAGAAGTTTAAAGCCGGATTTGGATGCAAAAAGATTTCCCAAGCTTTAAACATCTCAAGGAGCACTGTGCAAGCAATTATATTGAAATGGAAGGAGTATCGGACCACTGCAAATCTACCAAGACCTGGCCGTCCCTCCAAACTTTCATGTCAAACAAGGAGAAGACTGATCAGAGATGCAGACAAGAGGCCCATGATCACTCTGGATGAACTGCAGATAACTACAGCTGAGGTGGGAGAGTCTGTCCATAGGACAACAATCAGTCGTGCACTGCACAAATCTGGCCTTTATGGAAGAGTGGCAAGAAGAAAGCCATTTCTCAAAGATATCCATAAAAAGTCTTGTTTAAAGTTTGCCACAAGCCACCTGGGAGACACACCAAAACGATATGTTTGGCGTAAAAGCAACACAGCTCATCACCCTGAACACACCATCCCCACCGTCAAACATGGTGGTGGCAGCATCATGGTTTGGGCCTGCTTTTCTTCAGCAGGGACAGGGAAGATGGCTAAAATTGATGGGAAGATGGACGGAGCCAAATACAGGACCATTCTGGAAGAAAACCTGTTGGAGTCTGCAAAAGACCTGAGACTGGGACGGAGATTTATCTTCCAACAGGACAATGATCCAAAACATAAAGCCAAATCTACAATGGAATGGTTCACAAATAGACGTATCCAGGCGTTAGAATGGCCAAGTCAAAGTCCAGACCTGAATCCAATCGAGAATCTGTGGAAAGAGCTGAAGACTGCTGTTCACAAACGCTCTCCATCCAACCTCACTGAGCTCGAGCTGTTTTGCAAGGAAGAATGGGCAAGAATTCCAGTCTCTCGATGTGAAAAACTGATAGACATACCCCAAGTGACTTGCAGCTGTAATTGCAGCAAAAAGTGGCGCAAGGGGGCCGAATAATATTGCACGCCCCACTTTTCAGTTTATTTGTTAAAAAAGTTTAAATTATCCAATAAATTTCGTTCCACTTCACGATTGTGTCTCACTTGTTGTTGATTCTTGACAATTTTTTTCAATTCTTTGTTTGAAGCCTGAAATGTGGCGAGATGTTGAAAGGTTCACGGGGGCCGAATACTTTCGCAAGGCACTGTATAGTATATTCTATTATATATATGATCATTCATGTCTCCCATGTGCTGCAGTTCTCAGGTTCTCAGGAGCAGCATGTCCCCCGGGGGCCCCCTCTGCCTGGGGAGGACATGTGGGCGCAGGTGCACCAGGTACGAGCCTCCTGATTGGCTGACACTGTTTCATCATGTTTGAACTCTAGTGTGTGAGTTCTGACACAGACCTGTCTCCACAACAGCGGGACTTCCCTGGGAAGATGGTGGGTCATCTGAAGAGACCGGGGCCCCCCCTGCCAGAGCACTCAGTGATCCAGCACACTGCACTGCCCTCAGGTCCCCGGCCTGAGGACTGCCCCAGCCCCAGCAAGAGGAAGAAGGCCGTGCAGGTAAGGAGTACACCACTGTGTGTGGGTTTCTGTTTCTGCCCGGTGCTGAATCCTCCTCTCTGCACAGGAGCAGTTCTCAGGGCCTCCTCCACTGCCCTCAGCCCTTCCTCTTCCTCCTAAACCAGCATTCTGGAGCCCTCTTCACAAAGACACTTCCTCCTGGCAGAACCACGAACGCAAGAAGCCAGTGACTGATATTCAGGTTAATTAATATTTAGCAGTAGTAGTAGTTCATCAGACATTTTGTGCTGACGTCTGTTTTCTCGTGTTTCAGGAAAACAACAAACAGACTCTGGGGCACTTTACCCCCAAGTCGTCCCCTCTCCCACACCCCCCCTCCACAGGGAGCTACAGACAGAGCTACAGCTCTGTGTACAAGGAGAGGCCCCCCCCAGAGCCTCTTAGGCCTCAGTACACAAGCCAGGGCTCAGCCCCCCCTGTGAGCAGGAGCAGTGTGCCTTACAGCCACTTCCCCGGGCCCCCTCCCCTGAGCTCTGCACTGCTCCCTCAGCCCTGGAGGGGCCACAGAGCCCCCGCCCAGCCCCAGGTGAGTGCTGCAGTGTGTGAGGAAAACAACCTGTTACTTACAGCTGTATTCAGGATCTGAGTTTTAAATTTTTTATCTATTTTCGCATCTGAAGAATGTTTTTATGTATCTCTCGTTTTAGACTACATTATTCTAATCACTTTTATAAGTGTTATTATTCGCATTATATTACAGAACCTCCTGAACATTGCAGTCCTGAAGATAAGGCTCAGGTTCATGTTGTGATGTCGCACGTCACCAAAGACGGAACACAACAGGATTTAATAAGTTTTAACTGTCAACTCTGAGGAAACAAAGCACTGACTCCATAGAGTTTTATTAGAACGTTACTTTGAGAGTCCTCACATAAACACACTACAGTAGGAATGTGAGCTCTGGAGATCGACAGCTAATATAGCTATGACCCAGAAAGGTTCAGCACCACAGCTTTAATGACAGTTTCTGAGAATCACAAAAGACAAAGATGATGGTGCTTTTTCCCCAGAACAGTTGAGGAAGCTGTTGTTTTGTGATTGTCACTGTGTGTCTGGTCCACAGGATTGCAGCTCTTACAAAGGCCCAGCACAGCTACCTCAGCGCACCCCCAATACGCTCCCCCAGCGCACCCCCCCCAGTCGGCCGCCCGTCATCACCTCCACCCCCTCCCTCAAGCTGCCTCCATCCTCCTGTGTCTCCATCACTGCAGCGCCCCCCACAGGCAGCCCAATGTACAGCAACCACAGCTGGCCACGGCCTTCCTCTCCAGACGCTCCTCATCGAGATTCACCTCTGCCCCAGCCCTCTCTGTTCTCCCCTCACAGCGCCTCCAAACCCAGCCCAACTCCTCCTGCACCTCGGCCAAAACATGCCCCAGCTCCAGCCCCCTACCACCCAGCCTCCATCGAGGAGGCGCTGGACAAGCTAGACGCTGAGCTGGAGGGACACATGCAAGCAGAGGAGCAGAGGAGGCGAGAGTGCGAAGAGGAGGAGAGGAGAAGACGGGAGAAGGAGGAAGAGCAGGAGAGGAGGCAGAGGGAGGAGCGTGAAAGACAGGAGCAGGAGAAACGGCAAAGGGAAAGACAAGAACACGAGGGAAGACATAAAGACCAGGAGAGAAGGCAGCAGGAGCTACAGAAGAGGCAGGAGGAGCACAGGAGGTGCCAGCAGAGGGAGGAGCAGAGGAGGTCCCAGCAGCAGATACAACAGCTACAGAAGGAGGAGGAAAGGAGATCCCAGCAGCAGAGGGAGGAGCAGAGGAGGTCCCAGCAGCAGATGCAACGGCTACAGAAGGAGGAAGAGAGGAGGTCCCAGCAGCAGATACAACGGCTACAGAAGGAGGAAGAGAGGAGGTCCCAGCAGCAGAGGGAGGAGGAGAGGAGGTCCCAGCAGCAGAGGGAGGAGGAGAGGAGGTCCCAGCAGCAGAGGGAGGAGGAGAGGAGGTCCCAGCAGCAGAGGGAGGAGGAGAGGAGGTCTCGGCAGCAGCTACAACAGCTGCATAGGGAGGAGGAGGAGAGGAGGTCTCAGCAGCAGAAGAGGTGCCAGCAGCAGCTACAAAAGTTACAAAGGGAGGAGGAGGAGAGGAGGTCACAGCAGCAGCAGAGGGAGGAGCAGAGGAGGTCTCAGCTACAGCGGGAGGAGGAGGAGAGGAGGTCACAACAGCAGCAGAGAGAGGAGCAGGAGCGCAGTAAAACCACTAAGGAGCAGGATGCCATGGACAGTCTGGAGAAACTATTGAGAGTGAGCCCTCCTCAGCCGGCCTCTCCTCCTCAGCCGGCCTCTCCTCCTGCTCCTCCTCCTCCTCCTCCCCTCTCCACTGTCCCTCCCTCCCCCTGGCTGGCTGGCAGCAGCAGCAGCCTGTGCCCTCCCCCCCTCACGCCTCAGACAGAGTTTGCTCGTGAGAAGCAGCGACAGCGAGCCATGTGGAACGGAGCGCTCTACACTCCGCACACACACAGTACCTCAGCACACAAGCCCCCGGCACACGCCAAAGACCCCCCCAGACTGTACCAAGCCCCACCCCCTCCCCCACCTCCTCCTCTCACCGGCCCGGCACACAGCAGAGCCGAGTCCAGGAGCTCCACACAGTTCGAGGAGGAGACGTCTGATGTGTTGCTGCCTGATGGCCTAGCTAACATCATGGCCATGTTGGATGAGTCCATTCAGAGAGAGGAGGAGCTGTTCCAGAGTGGGAGGAGCCTGGAGGACCTGTCTGCGGTGGTGCAGCCAGTCACAGGTTACCCCTGTGCTCCAGACTTGCTGCCAGTGCCCAAACAGCAGGCCCACCCTGAGGACGTGAGCTCCAGCCCCCCGGTGCTGAGCCGACAGGGCTCTCTGGCCTCTCCCTGCAGCCGCACCTCCTCCCTGAATGAGGAGGAGGAGGACTACAAGCCCCTCCACAAAGTCACCTCCAGACCTCAGTAAGTCTCACGCCACAATCCTCAGAGACAAATATTATGCAAAACCTTCTGTTTGAGCTTCCATCAAAAACACACCTGTTTTAGCTTGATCCAAGTTAATCAACCTAAACCTAACCCCCGCACCATCGGCACAAATGCTCCAATCTCTAATTCCTTTTACTTTGCTTTTTTAAAGCAAAAGTATTGCCTCTAATTGATGGACTTGAAGGTGCTACTTGTTTCAAGGTCTTTGAAGTCTTCGGCCAATAGCGAGATGCGACCGATGTACTTTTGTTAAAAGATCTGGAAACCGCTCCATCAGCTGTTGACCTCCAGAGCTGGTGATGTCGCACACATTCCTTTTAGAAAGTGTTTTGAAAAAGAAGGTGCGCACCAGAGTGCGTTGATCCTCTACAGCGAGTTAAAACACCTCTTCAGTTAAAACCTCTGTCGACTTCAGGTGTGTCCTGTGTGTAAACATGAACTGTAGCTGGTGATGCAGAGAGGCACATGGTCTGCTCATGGTCTGCTCATGGTCCGGCAGGTTCTGTAGTTGTGGAAATTCTTCAAATTAGTTTATGACTGACTCTACAATTAGACCTGTCTTGGTAAGTTTGCAGTGAGGAAAAACTTCATTTCCAAACGATGGAACAAAGTGATCCTTCTAATATTTGCATAATTTGCTTTGGTTTTAAATAAATTATGAAGTTAATATCATCAAGGCGGCATAAAATGAACTCAAATAATGCATAATATTTGTTCTTTAAAATAGAGACAGGCCCAGACCTCAGGACACTGGCATCGGGAACACAGACTATCGCCACAGCGACTTGGCCAAGCTCTACGGCCTTCCTGAAGTGAAGAGCGAGGCTGACGAAGAGGAGGAAGAAGAGGACTCTCCTTCATGCTCGCCCCCACGCCAGAGACCTCACCTGCACCAAACCGGAGTCAACAGCATGTTCAAGTCTCTGGCCACGGTTCTGGAGAGCCAGAAGTACACGTACCGCGGAGGTCCGTTTGGCCGACCGCCCCCGTCAGCTCTGCTCGGCCTCAAGTACTCCTCCTCTTTGTCCCTCGGCCCCGAGATCCACCGACAGCAGAGATCTCCAGGTTCAGAGTTGTCCAACCCTCCTGCCAGCCCCACGGCGCAGGTCAAAGCTGAGTCCCCACCTCCGGCAAACGAACAGGACTGTCCCAAAGCACATGAACCAATCAAACCCATCCGGCTGATCAAAGAGGAGAGCCGCTTCACTGCTGTGTCCCAGGACTCTCTGTCGGAGAGCTGCGAGGTCCTGAACAGCCCCAAGCACGAGCGGTACCGCAGCCAGCACAAAGACCGAGACAAGTAAGACCATGGGTACAGTTGATGCATGCGGGGGAGACTAGCTCGGGGACAAACCAATACACCTCCATTGTTATAAGGTACTTAAAATCAGAAATAATCCAACTTCAAGAGCCTGGTATTGCTGGGTTTCACGTGACGTCACGCAGCGGCGCAAAAGTGCTCCGAGGTACAGGAAGTAAATCTCCCCATTAAGAACAATGTAAAAATGCACTTTTCTGTAGCGTGTGCAGTTGTGGCAACTGCTCATATCAAGTGGAGAACTTATGGAGTCTATTTTGCTAAAATTGATTTCACTAACGGGTGTCGGTTTTTTGAAAAATGCCTAATTAGGAATGGAAAAAATGCATTAGCATTAGCCTGCGTAGCATCTGCAGCCGCAGACACAGCTGACGGTCTGCAGTCTCTACTTTGCTGACTTTCATCGATACAATGCAGTATTTTTGTGTGGCATACGGTAGTAACCGAGGGAAAAGGGAGAAAGAACTGTTAAATACATGTTTTAATGCCAAAGGTTGTCTCAAACCAACATTTACATGTATAACAAAGCTAAAAGCAAGCTTTAAGGCGCGTTCAGACCAAAAGCTTCAAAAAGCTTTTGACGCGCTTCACCTGACGCCGGGATAGTTTTGTCATTTTGGTGGTTGAAGCTTTTGACGCGAGTGACGCGCCTGACGCCGGTGGGAGGAGCTTCTCTGTTGTCTGTAGTCAGGACAGCAGTGGATTTTTCAATGAGCAGCGAGCCTTTATTTGTTATATAAAGCAAAATAACGTTGTTGTAGGGCTTCAACAAAACATGTTCTGGGTTCACCACAGACTTGAGAGGCTGCAGTGTTTGCAGAGTTCCGTCATTTACTCCAGGAGCTGCGTACGGAGGAGTTTCGCTTTCAGCGGTACTTCCGCATGTCACTCGCCCAGTCTGAGTACTCAAACCCCGGAGCTCGCGTCTCCCCGCCTCGCTCTCGCCTCTCCCTGCCTCTCCCCGGCTCTCTCTGCCTCTCACTGCCTCTCCCTGCCTCTCCACGGCTCTCGCTCGCCTCTCCCCGGCTCTCGCCCGGAGCTGCCTTGCTCTGAGCCAGACTCATCGTCAGCCTGTTCTTATTTTAAATAAACTACGTTTACTACACAGCATGTGTACAATGATTTTAGTTACTCAGAACGTTACTACTCATACAAATAATATTACTAATAACAATAATGACAATAAAACAGCAGCAGATACATGACTTCTCTCCATGACAGAGACAGACCCTCTGCTGCTGCTGCTCCTCGTCTCCTGATTGGTTGAAGCCCGCGTCAAAGCTTCAAAAGCTCAGCTTTGCTCAGCTTCGGCGTCAAAGGGATTGTTGTGATACGCGAGCGTTTCGCGCGTCAAAAGCTTCAAGTGAGCGCGTAGTACGCGCGACTCTTGAAGCTTTTGACGCGCGTCAAGTGACGCCGGGGCTCTCGGCTTCACCTGACGCGCTTCACCATTCACTTTCAATGGAAACCTGACGCTTTTGACGCCGAAGTTAAGTCCGGTGTGAACGCCCCTTTACAATCAGTCTTCTCACATATAATCTAGCCATTGTGTTATGAGAGTCATTGTTCATCGATATTCCCATGACTGTGAGGTCCGGGACTTTGAGGTCCAGGGTCCGGGACTTTGAGGTCCAGGGTCCGGGACTTTGAGGTCCAGGGTAATGTCTGAAGTTTTATCAGAGCTTTGTGCCCCCAGGATGGCTGCGTTCGTAGCAGCCCCGGCTGTTAGCTTAACGCTACGGAGCTCCCCCAATCCAAACTTTTTGTTGTTTACAGCTCAACAAATCACAAAAACAAACATTTGTGCCCTATTTATTGTATTATTGATCAGAACTATCATCTCAGACGTGGTTCTGTTGATCCCAGAGTGACGAGCTCCATTGTCGTCACTATAACAGCCTTAATCCTCCTCATTGTTGAAAAAACTGGACTCATTCAAACTCTACAAGGCGTACGCTGCATTTAAAATAGTTTTCACTCAAAATAAGAGTGATACTAAGCCACGAAACTTCCTGTCCTGCAGCCCCTTGCCACACCCCCTTTTGGTCACGTGGTTGCAACCCAGCAATTTAGAAATGGGGTGCTCAATGTCTCCCTCTTTGACTATTCTTGGCTTGCAGTCACGTGACGCATAAACTTCCGGTTGACAAAGTGGTGGTCAGGCCAGCAAGAGTTGCTGCTGATATGTGGAGAAAATGCAACTATTCAGAGTATTTCTTTTTGCTTTTTGGATATTTCATGACACTTTGAAGCCACTGTGGTTTACTTTCTAACTCATCATTCTAACAGTATGCACAAGGCAGAATTTTTCCACTACATGTTTTGGTAATATCAAGGTTGAAGCTACTGGCACCGCGGCAAATGCTAATATGCTAATATTGCTACTAATGCCGTTTTTCCACAGTCCTAGTACGGTATGTTTTGACTCTACACGGCGCGCCATGGCCCAGTTCGTGTGCTTTTTCATCAAAAGTAGTACCCCCAGTATATCCTCAGCGTTGTCAGACCACGTCATTTACGTGTGACGCGTAACTAGTACTGGTGCGGTGCATGGATTTATTATAATACCAGAGCAAGTGTTTAATAGAAAGTTCAGCACAGCACGAGTAGTTTTTGAAAATGCTTATGTCTTAAAAGAATGACTGACACTGTGAAGTCAATGGTGCTGACTGCTCTGTACAATCTGAATGGGACCTGTAGCAACAGCAGCCTGTGTAGCAGAGGAGGAGGGCTGTATGTCCGAGGATACGGCTAGGCTATAGCTGAGTGAGGAGGACGTAATGTAGCCGAAACAGAGCCGAGCAGAGCAGCTGGTTTTAAAGATGGCGGTTGAGTTGTTTCTCCCAAAGGGTCAGATGTTGCTTCCAGTGATGACACTCGTTTACCAATCAGTGTAAGGCAGTGGGCCGACGTGACGTCATGGCAGGGGTACTATGGGGATGGAACCACGGCTGAGGCAGTACGGAAAAGTACTCAAATCTCCCATACCATCCACTAGTGGAAACGCAAAATAACCGTGCTGAAGCGTACTGTACTGATACTGTGGAAAAGCGGTATAAGTCTCCATTCCTCCGCTGTATGTTACTTACATTCTGTAACATCTTTGTTTTATGCTGCCTCTACCATCGACAATAAAACATGTCTTCTGTCTGAATTAAAGACACGATCCTCATTTTCTTCACTTTAGATTCTAATCCACTAGCTAGTGTAACAATCAAGCTTTTGCACTGCTAAACAAATGAAGGTTTTGAAAAACATGGTACTGTAACTTTTCTGTGGGTTAAGGAACTCAGAGTTAAGGTCCTGAAGGACAAATCCTGCATCATAAAGAGCCATGTAAGTAATGATTGGTGAATGAAATTGTCATTCTCAACAATGCGTCAACATGTGTTCTTTTCAGGTCAAACATTCAGTGTTTATTTAAAAAGCCAACTCATACCTAACAATGAATTGAATAAAGATGGGGATGTAATAACTGCGCATGGTGACTGCATAGCTGGGTAAATAATCCTTCGAGGTAAAAGCGTCTGCTAGTGAAATGTTAGAGAGCCACTTTTCCTGCGTCTTTTCGTAAAGTTCTTTGTACGAGGCTCTTTATTAATCTCTTCATGAGGAATCCTAAAGTATCCATTAACGGTTTTGCGATTCGATCGGTTAGAAAACTTAGAACAACACTCAGACACGCTGCTCTAGTAAACAACTAGCTTGGCTTACCACCACTTCGTGATTTGCATACGTAATGAGGCGTACGTGTCGTCAATTGGAAGCAAGCAATTGGTCTGTTTCTGTAGCAGAACATAAGTGGGTGATAACATTGAAAAGTGTATTGGTTTGAGAAAAGTCAAGGTGCTCTGGGGCTTTTCCATAAGAGAAAACTAGCCATATTAGCGCCAGGTTCTCCATGTGACCTCTTTAAAACAAATGCTTTGTGACAGGTCGAGAGACAAGAAGGACAAGGAGAAGAGGAAGAAGCACGGCCACAGCAAACACGAGGAACGGAGACACAGAGACGCCTCCTCAGCCTCCGGTCACCGTAAACACAGCAAGAGCCACAAAGACCGGAAGGAGCGGCGCATCCTCGGAGACCTCAACTCTCAGGGAAAACGGGAGCAGATTGAGCAGACATTTGACCAGAGCAGCAGCAGCAGTGAGGAGCGAGGAGCCACCAGCGAAGGCTCCTGTGACATCCTCAAGCTGAAGGCTCTGTCTGACGGCCCACCCAAAGAGCTGAAGATCCGCCTCATCAAAGTGGAGAGTGGAGACCGAGAGACCTTCATTGCATCAGAGGTGGAGGAGAAGAGGATCCCACTCCAGGACATCAGCATCAAGAACACGGCCAGCGAGATCATCCGCTCCTGCAAGTACGTCCACAAACACTGGGGACGCACGCTTTCACACCGCTGACTGTTACTGGCACATGCAGCTACATTTATTTATTGTATGGATGAGTTTTCCTGATGTCCTCCACCAGACCAGTCTGGTGTGACGTGTAGGTGACATTACAGCAGATATAAATATGGGGGGGGTCTCTGTCTCTTTGGTTTCTCTCCATTTGCTCTCTCTTGTCCCTCTCTCTCTTTGTTTAGGATAAGATACTGGAGAAATGTACATGTCACATTTGGCACAGATAGAATCACTCAGATTGTGCAAAAGACTTAAGTGTGAAACATAAAATATAGTCTCTGTGCAGGATATGATTATGTACAAAAGGGGCAATAGCAGCTGGTTCTTCAGTCCTAGTGCAGGTCATTAGTGACTTAAAGTGACTTTTTGTAGTCTGACAGCGGTGGATTGTTTAGTGTCATGAAGCAACAACTAGATCTTCAGGAAATGCTTACCATTGTGTGTTTTGCAGAGGTGCTAAAATCAAAGGGAAGTTCAAGGAGTCGTACCTGCTGCCGGCCTTCTCCATCAAACCCAACATGACGGCTGATGGACCGATCCCGCGAGAGAAGCTCAACCCGCCCACTCCCAGCATCTATGTAGGTCTTACATCATAGACATGTGTGGCATTAAATATACTTCAGGGTTCGTACAGTCATGGAAAACCTGGAAATGTCATGGAATTTTAAAATCTAATTTCCAGGCCCTGGAAAAGTTTTGGAATTTTGTAGGTCCTGGAAAAGTTTGGAAATTTTACAAAATGTATGTTTAAAAAAATTTAAGGCTATATAAATATGTAATGAATAAATAAAAAACAATCGTAAAGCACTCCAGCGCGCACATTGTATTCGGGCAGACAGGTTGCTTGCAGCCATTAGCGACACGCCCCCCCGCTTGACTCGAGGCCAGCTACGTGTTTTCCGTGCTACAGCGACTCAGCAAAACCATCATGCCAGGAAAATGCAGATTCAACAATGCGTGGCTATTTGTGGAAAAATATCATAGCTGGCTTCAAAAAGACTCCGACTCAAGTCACGCCAAGTGTAAGCTATGCAGTAAAACGTTTGACATTTCGAATATGGGGGAGTCTGCTCTGGCGAGCCATATGAAAGGGAAAAAACATGAGTTAGCCATGAGGGCAAATGCCGCGGCGATTCCCATCAGCCAGTTCATAGGCGCTAGTGTACAGAAAACCCCCACGCCAAGAGCACCGACAACAACTCAAGGAACGTTGGACTTTTCCTCTAAAAATGAGGTACTGAAAGCCGAGATACTATGGGTATTAAAAGTAATGAATTCGCATTACTCCTACAAATCGTCAGAGGGCACGAGTCGTCTGTTTGCAGCTATGTACGGCTAAGGAAAAGAAAATCTCTCTACAGGATCTCGATAAGCAAATGGACGACAAGCTTCTTGAGATGAAAAGCCTTCTTAGTCTGTAGTGAGAGACACTTTATTTTTACTCGAACTTAAGTTAAAGCACTGAAGCTGTTTTATTACAATATTTACCTGTACTGAGATACTACTTTCACTTCAGTTAGTCTGTAATGCAATGCAGAAATGTAGCAGTACATACATTTCTACCATTTTGAGTGTATTTTATTGTTGGAAGTAATTGCATGGTTACTTTTTGTTCTTGAATGTATTGAAGGTACAACAGTTAATATTTTTGATAAAAAGTTGACTTTGCATGCTGAATTTAGGCTAAATAAAAACAATGTTTGGTTACCCAACCTTTTATTAAGTATTTTTTATTTAATGATAAAATAGTGATCTGACACATAGAGGCCTGAGCTGGCCAGCGTACCTAGAGCTCCCTCTAGAGGCAGCAGCAGGAATGACTTACTAAAAAGTGATCAACTGAAAGTTGTTTTGCAACTCAATTGCACCCTGGTTAACACACTTTGAGAGGAAAAATGTGGTGGACAGTTCTGGGATTTTCCTATGACTCAAAATAACCCTTAACTCAAAACTGCATGAATGAAAAACTATTCTAACAGTGTTGTACTTTAAAATTCTGTCGTTTTTTTGCAGAATATGTTCCCTTTAAAAGTATTTTATTTTATGGAAGACATCTGTAAACTGTCTTCCATAAAATGTTTGTAAGACATCTGTAAAATGTGTTTAGGCACAAAATCAACAAATGAATGCAAGTAACGATTGAAATTGACTGAGTAATTTTTGGCCATGGAAAATTGGTTAAGGGTCATGGAAAAGTCATGGAAAAGTCATGGAAAACCTTAAGAGGAAATCTGTACGAACCCTGATACTTAGATCATTACTTAATCATGTCTGAGGCCTCCAGCTGGAATGTCTCCAGTTTGTTTCCAAAGTAGCAGTAGCTTCATGTTCTCCTGAATCCAGAGCACTTTCTATACAATAGTCACAAACATATCCCTCCATCTTACCTTTTCTCATGAATTGCTCAGTTTTTGATTTCAGTGGTCCTCTATTGCTTATAAACAGGGGTGCACATAAGTGGTACGCAGGTACGCATGCGTCACAAATATCAGAAATGCGGACCATCACTTGAGTTGGAAAGCGCTTTTGCGTACTTCACATGGACCAGTCCTTCTCAAATAGTGGGGCGGGGTGCAATAACATCCTCTGTTCTGACCCCGGGAGAAACTGTGGCCGCCCTGACAGCTCAGCGAACGCGCGTGGTCATGTACCAAGCACGGACCATAGACACGCCTACAGAACCATACACTCGTGCGCGTTACGTGCACATTGCACGTGCAAGTCTTGCCTGTCTCCCCCGTCTCTCCCCCATGCCTCTCCGCAGTCTCGTCCCAGTATCTCCCCCATGCCTCTCCGCAGTCTCGTCCCAGTCTCTCCCCCATGCCTCTCCCACGTCTCCCCCAAGTCTCCACAAGAAGCGCAGCCAAAACTAATTGAGTTAAAGCTCAGATACCTACATTTTTGCTTGCATTGAAAAAGCATGTTATTTGTGAACCAAAGTAAAATGTTGTGACCAAATCAAACAGAACAAAACCAAACAGTCTTGTTTATTTTATTTTTTACTTAAGAAAGAGCCCTGTGAGTCATTATTTGACTTTTTTGGCAGAGTGGATTTTTTTCAATAATTTTTTCCACATAGTTAGTGCCACTTAATTGCCAAATTCTTTTTGACTAATTGTATTGAGAAACATGCTAGTCCCACATTATTATTGGTTGTTTTATTACCTTTCATGTGTGTAAGTTGTATGTTTATTTTATTATTCTACTGAAGGATTATAATACACTGCATTTTTATTTTTTATTTTATTTTTATTGACAAGTGTCAGAAACATAATTTCATAAGAATCTGAGAGCTATCTGCTACAGAGGCAGAGATATCAATCATTTTGTAGACGTTGAATTTCAGCATTAAAAAGAAGCAAGTATAAGAACCGCGCGACAAATGAGTACCAAACACCATGTCCTGGTACTCATCTGAATACCTCTCTGAAAAAGTTATGTGCACCCCTGCTTAGAAAGTTTAACTAAAGGGTTAAGGCATTTACAGCCAAACCACATCATGTCTGGCAGAAGATCAGCTCTTTTCTTTCTGTTTCAGTTGGAGAGTAAGAGAGACGCCTTCTCCCCTGTGCTGCTGCAGTTCTGCACAGACCCTAAGAACCCTGTGACCGTGATCCGGGGCCTGGCAGGATCCTTGCGTCTCAGTAAGACGCATGCTTTAACATCTGGTCCAGGAGCCGATCATTTTGGTCTCTCCCCTAACCCCATGTGGTCTCTGGTCCCCTAACACCATGTCTGCTCTCCAGATCTGGGCCTGTTCTCCACCAAGTCCCTGGTGGATGCAAACTCTGACCAGTCTGTGGAGGTGAGGACGCAGGTGCAGCAGCCTGCAGACGAGAACTGGGACCCCAGTGGAACCAAGCAGACCTGGCCCTGCGAGAGCAGCCGCTCACACACCACTATCGCCAAGTACGCCCAGTACCAGGCCTCTAGCTTCCAGGAGAGCCTGCAGGTACGCCATTAGTCTGCACATGGTGTTCTATCCATATGGTCCCTCACTACACACAAATATTTGTGTACAAACATTCTTTTTAACAAACTCGAACATCATAGAACCACTGTATAACATGACAGTTCCCTTTATAAAGTATCATACATGTAAACATGTATGTATTCAGTGACACTGTATTGATGCCCTGTCTCCTGTGTTCATGATGAGCCTCCACTCTGCCCTCTTGTGGCCAAACCTATGCAGTTTCCTAAAAGATATGGTTCTATATCCTTCTAAAAATAAGCCACAATGAGCAGAGAGAGGGAGGGAGAGCAAAGCGGGATAGCCATGTTATACTAGTGTTTTATGATGTTGGAGTAAAACACACAACGCATGAGAAACACTGTCAATAAACACACACACAGGTCTGCGGTGCCTCAAAAGGTGATCTGTGTTAAAAACAGCCACGTCTTAATGTACATTCAAATAACAAATTGAGATGCAGTGTTGTGCGTGAACGAGTTCAAAAGAACGCGTTCATTGAACACGCTCATTTTTTCGTGAACATTGAACTGAACGCAACACATTTTTAAAAAAAGAACTTGAACGTGAATTAGTTCATTTTATGTGTCATGAACGGCAGACATCACTATGAACGTTGGAATCTGTTTTCTCTTTTGAAACGCAATGAGAGAAAGTTCCTCCCTCCTGTATTCTCGCACTTTTTCCGCGGAAATCAAAAAAATCCTACGGTTTCCACCGTCTGTGAACGCACCCGACTCTGTGTTGAGGTGCGGCGCTGTGAGCTGGTGCTTTTCACATGTGCCCGAGTCGTGATGAAAACACAGGGTGAGTTAGCGACAAAGTTTACACCGTTTACATTTGACATAAAGTATAGACACACGCACTGCAGCGCATTACTGTTTATGGGCAGAGATGGAGCATGTATATACATACACACATACACACACTGCCATGCGAAAGTATTCGGCCCCCTTGAACCTTTCAACATTTCGCCACATTTCAGGCTTCAAAACAAAGATATAAAAATTAAATTTTTTGTCAAGAATCAACAAGTAGGACACAATCGTGAAGTGGAACGAAATTTATTGGATAATTTAAACTTTTTTAACAAATAAACTGAAAAGTGGGGCGTGCAATATTATTCGGCCCCCTTGCACTAATACTTTGTAGCGCCACCTTTTGCTGCAATTACAGCTGCAAGTCGCTTGGAGTATGTCTCTAAGTTTTGCACATCGAGAGACTGGAATTCTTGCCCATTCTTTCTTGCAAAACAGCTCGAGCTCAGTGAGGTTGGATGGAGAGCATTTGTGAACAGCTCTTCAGGTCTGGACTTTGACTTGGCCATTCTAACACCTGGATACGTCTATTTGTGAACCATTCCATTGTAGATTTGGCTTTATGTTTTGGATCATTGTCCTGTTGGAAGATAAATCTCTGTCCCAGTCTCAGGTCTTTTGCAGACTCCAACAGGTTTTCTTCCAGAATGGTCCTGTATTTGGCTCCATCCATCTTCCCATCAATTTTAGCCATCTTCCCTGTCCCTGCTGAAGAAAAGCAGGCCCAAACCACGATGTTTGACAGTGGGGATGGTGTGTTCAGGGTGATGACCTGTGTTGCTTTTACGCCAAACATATCGTTTTGCATTGTGGCCAAAAAGTTCGCTTTTGGTTTCATCTGACCAGAGCACCTTCTTCCACATGTTTGGTGTGTCTCCCAGGTGGCTTGTGGCAAACTTTAAACGAGACTTTTTATGGATATATTTGAGAAATGGCTTTCTTCTGGCCACTCTTCCATAAAGGCCAGATTTGTGCAGTGCACGACTGATTGTTGTCCTATGGACAGACTCTCCCACCTCAGCTGTAGTTATCTGCAGTTCATCCAGAGTGATCATGGGCCTCTTGGCTGCATCTCTGATCAGTCTTCTCCTTGTTTGAGATGAAAGTTTGGAGGGACGGCCGGGTCTTGGTAGATTTGCAGTGGTCTGATACTCCTTCCATTTCAATATAATTGCTTGCACAGTGCTCCTTGAGATGTTTAAAGCTTGGGAAATCTTTTTGTATCCAAATCCGGCTTTAAACTTCTCCACAACAGTATCTCGGACCTGCCTGGTGTGTTCCTTTGTCTTCATGGTTCTCTCTGCGCTTTAAACAGAACCCTGAGACTATCAAAGAGCAGGTGCATTTATACGGAGACTTGATTACACACAGGTGCATTCTATTTATCATAATCAGTCATTTAGGACAACATTGGATCATTCAAAGATCCTCACTGAACTTCTGGACTGAGTTTGCTGCACTGAAAGTAGAGGGGCCGAATAATATTGCACGCCCCACTTTTCAGTTTTTTATTTGTTTTAAAAAAAGTTTAAATTATTCAATACATTTAGTTCCACTTCACGATTGGGTCCCACTTGTTGATTCATGACAAAAAATTAAAATGTTATATCTTTGTTTGAAGCCTGAAATGTGGCAAAATGTTGAAAGGTTCAAGGGTGCTGAATACTTTCGCAAGGCACTGTATATATTAGCTCGTAGTGTGAAAAAATATTTAAATATCTCACGAAAAAAAGTAAAATGAACTGAACTTTGAACTAGTTCAGAATTAAAAATGTGAACTTTGAACGTGAACTGTTCACTTTGAGCATGTATGAACTGAACTTGGCACAACACTGTTGAGATGAATAAATAGTGGATGATATACATCTGTGAGGCTCACCCACAGCTCTGTTCCAGGAGGAGAAGAGCAGCTCTGATGAAGAGGAGGAGGAAGAGGATAAAGACAAGAAACCAGTTGTCGACACCCTGAAGGAAGGCCCCAAAGACGGCCCCAAGGACGGCAGCAAAGAGGCCAGCAGGTACCAGCAGCACACCAGCACTCTGAGTCTGGGGCCAGAATACATGTTACATACTTGTTTCTGTCAGCAGTGAGCAGAAACCAGGGAAGATAATAAAGTTTGGAACCAACATCGACCTGTCTGACCCCAAGAGGTGAGTTTGTGTCTAACTGACCTCTGATCCCTCTCTGGTCCCTCTCTCTCACCCTCTCTCCCTCCTCTGCTCAGGTGGAAGGCTCAGCTGCAGGAGCTGCAGAAGCTTCCCGCCTTCATGAGAGTTTCCTCCAGTGGGAACATGCTGAGCCATGTGGGCCACACCATCCTGGGCATGAACACTGTGCAGCTCTATATGAAGGTCCCAGGCAGCCGCACTCCAGGTCAGTACTGTCATGGCCTCCCCAGAGGGAGCAGCGTCTCCAGTCAAAGCTCCCTGTTACTCTCTATGCTGCCACCAAAGCTCCCTGTAACCCTGTCGATTGTAAAGTCATTCATCTGACAAATAACCAAAACATTTGTTTTAAGTTATAAAACTGCTCTGAATGTGATGTCATAGTGGGACAATGACATCATACAGTTACAGGACAGAATAATAATAATGCATCGGTTTTGTATAGCGCTTTTTTTGGGACACTCAAAGACTCTTCACATGTCATTATTCATTCACTCCATACACGGTGGTGATAAACTACTACCCCAGGGCACACTGACAGCAGCGAGGCAACCAGTATGTGCCATCGGCCCCTCCGACCACCAACCATTCACACACACCAGACTCATTCTAGGCAATGGAAGTGAAGTGTCTTGCCAAGGACACAAAGACAGCAGACAGTGGGAGTCGATGGTGACCTCTGTTCAGGTCAGGGTCGAACCCACAACCCTCTGGCTCAAAGTCCAATGCTCTACCCACTGAGCTACTATCGCCCTGACAGAAGGGGCAGAGCTACATGTTTGTTTCTCTTTTCAGGTTTGTTACTGGTCCAAAGGTACTATAATGCAGTCGTCCACCAGGGGGTGAACCATAGTGTGGGTGTTTATAATGACAGCTGTGACTGTTGCAGGTCACCAGGAGAACAACAACTTCTGCTCCGTTAACATTAACATCGGCCCTGGGGACTGTGAGTGGTTCTCTGTGCATGAGCATTACTGGCAGGCCATCAGCGACTTCTGTGAGAAGTGAGTCTGCACCACATCCTTCTAGACCAGAGAGATAGAGAGAGAGGGGGAGACCAGAGAGGGAGAGACCGAGACCAGAGAGGGAGAGACTGATTTCATTCTGAGCAGGATCACCCCAGACTCCACCCATTTCCTGAAGTCTCCAGGTTCAGACTGGACTCACTTGAGGAAATGGGAGGAGTCTGCAGTGCTCCTGCATAGTTGGAATGAAAACCTGCACATAGGGACTGGTCTGACAGTGTTTTACAGGGACTATAGAGTATCGTCTGAAGTGTCTTATCTGAGGTGGATAACCCTGTGCTCTCCCTCTTCTCTCCCCTTCTGCAGACATGGTGTGGATTACCTCACTGGGTCCTGGTGGCCAGTGCTCCAGGACCTGTATGCAGCTAACATCCCTGTGTACCGCTTCATCCAGCGTCCTGGAGACCTTGTCTGGATCAACGCAGGGACCGTTCACTGGGTACAGGCTGTGGGCTGGTGCAACAACATCGCCTGGAACGTGGGGCCACTGCACGGTATGAGGGGAGGCCAAGGGGGAGGCCAAGGGGGAGGCCAAGGGGGAGGCCAAGGGGGAGGCCAAGGGGTTAATAATGAGACAAATCAATCTCAAACAGAATTAAAGATATTTTAGTTCACAGCATGTGTCTACTCTACTCTCTCCTGATTGGGAGTGTTTCCTCTGGTCATGTGTAACCAATACCAGGTCCTTCTTTAGTATCAGCTGGGCCTGGATAGAACCAGGAGCGACTAAAGTTCTGACAGTGGCGCAATCCCAATACTCACACTGCACCCTACACTCCTCTACGAAGTGTACAAGGCTTTGAGTGTGCAGGTTACAAGCGTGCAAAAAGGCGGAATTGGGACAGTGCACACTAAGTGCAAGTTACCTCATTGACTAGTCAAGACATGGTCATTTTCAGACCAAAACTTAAAAAAAATTAAAGGTAATTTTGTCTGACCCTGTGGGAAACAAAATGAGTTGCTCCACACGTTAAAATAAATGTATATTGGTTATTTGTAATTTTAGATAGCTGTATAATTTTAAGTTAAATGTGGGTAACTAACTGTTATCTGGTAAGGTTTATACATCCTAAGTTTATTGTACTAAGTTTAAAGTTTAAATTGAATGTTATATGAAAGCTTGGATTAAAAAGTTATTAAATTGTTAGCATAGAATGTCCGTAACTCTTCAATTAGTCATTTATGCTTCTATCCAAGTAACATAGCAAAATGTATTTACACATATACAGCATATATATTTCAAACTTACGCTTAAATGCATTTTACCGACGTTTTGGTGTGTGCCGTAAAGAATTATGGGCGATATCCTTCGCCAGTCCGCTTAGATGCAGGCTACGGCGAAGTGTGGGTCAGGGGCGCAAAGAGGTGTGGCCAAAGACCTCCCTGGAGGATTGGGACACCCTACCCACTTGCACCTATCATCAGGAATGTGCAAATGGGGCGTGAGGGTGGAAGTGCAAGTATCGGGACTGGGCCAGTGATTAGCCCGAGTGCTGCTGGAAGCCATGGCTACCAAGGAATTTCCAAGCCACTATGCTTTAATATTGACTGTATCCAAACAACCCACAACAAACCCATGTTATGTGGAAATGGGGCCTATGATGTTGACATGTGACGATACTACATAGTCCAAATGTTGAATGTCACTGACGGCGCCCCCTGGTGGCTCTGCAGGGTACCAGTACCAGCTGGCTCTGGAGAGGTTTGAATGGAACGAGGTGAAGAAGGTAAAGTCCATTGTCCCCATGATCCACGTGTCCTGGAACGTGGCCCGCAGCCTCAAGATCACAGACTCTGACACCTACAAGATGATCAAGTGAGTCCTGTCAGACCCCTTTCCCTTGAAACCACTGGTTCTACTGACTTAAATCAACTGATCGCTAACTTGACATGTGTGGTGCGCAGACACTGCCTGCTCCAGTCCATGAAGCACAGCCAGATCCTCAGGGACCAGCTGGTGAGCGAGGGCAAGAAGATCTCCTACCAGAGCCGAGTGAAGGACGAGCCGGCCTACTACTGCAACGAGTGTGATGTGAGTGATGCCCGAGGCGCGTGTGTGTGTGTGAGGACCCGACTAATGATGCGTTCACACCGCCAACGCTGATGCCTCACGCACCAGACGCACATTCTCTAATTTTCAGACCTGGCCTGTGGTGGCGCCCGCCAGAAGTGACAGAAGTAGCGGGCGGACTTTGATGCTAACGGAGTTAAGCTAGCAGCTTTTTGAGAAACGTTCTTCTCCAATATTGCAGTGTCTGTGTCCTGAGACCTTCCAGAGACTTTATATAATAGCAGTATGTGTTCATGGAGGTGCGCCATACGTTTATTTTATTATTACACGGTACTTCTGCATCAGCGAACACGTTCGAAGCAGTTACATAAAGTCACAGAATGAGTGTAGCTCTTGTTTTGGCTGTTTACGAGTATGTTCTGTCTACTCGCTCAAACCACTAATGTCCTCATGACCACTTTGCGGCTTTCTGATTGGTCGCTGCACAAGCGTCCCGAGGAAACTCTCAGCAATATTTATCTCCTGCGTACGTTTATTTTCCGCTCCTGCACTTCTGCCACGCCTTTGCCGCGCAGTCAGTGCGTCTCTTCCGTGCAGTCCGTGCATCTCAAGACGCACATGCAGTTCCATGCTCGAACGCGCGCCACCATTGACTTTGCATTGAAAGTTGACGCAACGCATGATACGGTCTGAACGCAGCTTAACTCTTCATGTGTGTGAGAGGACTTGTCTAATGCCTGGTGTGTGTGTGAGGACCCAACTAACGCCTGGTGTGTTGCAGGTGGAGGTGTTTAACCTCCTCTTCGTCACCAGTGAGAACAGCAGCAGAAAGACCTACATGGTTCACTGTGAGGACTGTGCCCGCCGCATGAACTCCTCTCTGGGCACCGTGGTGGTGCTCGAGCAGTACCGCATGGAGGAGCTCATGGCTGTATACGACGCCTTCAGCCTGGTGAGACACAGAGGGGACAGGGGGAGGGACAGGAGACCCAGGGGGGGAGAGGTGCTACCTTAGGGTCAAAACAACCCGCCACAGTGATTAACCTCTTTACTCCCACCGGCGCGTCGTTTTTATTTTTAAAATGTTCTGCTGGCAGATGCATTTTGAACACCAAACCCCAAAAGCTGTATGTCATTTTAAAGCTTATTTTCTTATTTACATGTATATACATGTGTAAACTACATCAGACTTTGCATTCAAAAGATATAACACACAATATGGGCACAAAATAAATCACTTTCCAAAAAGTTTTTTACCTTTGGGCTTGTGCTGCATAAATAAATCAGATCTCCTCCAAGCTTACAATACATCTTTCTCTCTGGAACAGTCCAAAGGATAATAATATCAACTTGTATGTCCCAAAGTATAATCCATTCTGAAGAAATAATCCAAAAATGTGCATTTATCTTTAGCGAAAAAACCAAAACAAAAAGAGCACAGATGTTGCTCTTTCACTTTTAACGGACTTTTAGCTTTCACAGAAACAACTGGTATCCACGTGTTCCCTAGCTCCTTATCTTTCAAATGAGACTATTCCCGAAGAACTAGGAGCATTTTTGATTCTGCAACAGTTCCCGTGAGTACAGCTAGCGGCTGCTGTTTGCGCATGGGTCACTGATCTTTGTTGTCTTCCCTACTTCTTTGCATCTATTTCCTGGCCGTTTGATTGATATGTCCGTGTAGCCAATGAGGAAAACTTTCGAGCAAGGGGTGGGGCAATGGTGTCCTGTCTTATTTTGTGCCTGTAGAATTGTGTGTAATGGCAGTCAAAAGACTCTCTTGAAGCTACAATGAATTTACAATCATAAAAAAACTTACTTTGACATAAAAAACACATAGATTAGTAACTTAGTAAGAAATGTAGTTTTTATGATGATTAAATGTTAGTAAAGTTGTCAACACAATGAACATAGGGTTTGAATATTGTGAACTTTCAATGAAGTATGCCTTTTTTTAGGGCCTTTTAGAAATAGAAAATTTTAGGCGAGGCTAAAACATTTCCCCAAACTTAAAAAGGATGCAGGGTGAAATAAGAATGACAAACATTATTTTAGTGTATATTTACATAAACTAGAAGGCTCTAGCTTTAATATGATGCGTCACACAAGCATGTGACATGTAAGATGTGTTTTTAAATAAGCAAAGACATTTGGGTATGCCCAACTTTGTGCACAAGCCAAAATGAGGCAGGTGTTAAGTTCTCAAAATTAGGGTCTAAATGAGCCAGGGTAAAAGTTTGAATCATCCAAATTCAGCTCCAAAGAAATGATTTATGGTATTTCTTCATCATTGTGGGGGTCATTCTGACCCGAGTGGAGCACAAGAGTTGAGTTGGAGAACAGCTGGACACACACTCGCATCAATCAAGTCTTATTGGTCTTTATACATAGTTATCCATCTATCAGATTTTCTAATCTGCTGTATGTAAATCAGACAAATAAGTTGTATTTCTACAAATGCATTGGGGCTTTGTCTTGCCAAAGACAAATCAGGCCACATGTGATCTTCCTTAAACAAAAGTTAGGTACCCCAGCTTTAATGCTGGCGGCACGGTGGCTGAGTGGATAGCACTCTCTCTCTTCTCCGCAAGAACGTCCTGGGTTTGAATCCCGGTTGGAACAGGGCCTTTCTGAGTGGAGTTTGCATGTTCTCCACGTGTCTGCGTAGGTTTCCTCCGGGTGCTCCGGTTTCCCCTACCACTAAAAACATGCACAATAGGTATGAATGTAATGAGTGAGAGTGAATGGATGGTGTTGATTGGAACTGATGTACAGTGTGCTCAGCGACTCGCTTCCGACATCACCATGTGTGGAATGATTGGAACAATATCTGAACTCTGAACATTGTGAAACACTTTGGGTGACCTTGGTCTGTAAAATGTGCTATATAAATAAAACTTACTTATTTAAATGCCTGTAAATCCAGGTAGATGTTGCTGTGACACTAACTGTCTTTGTGTCCCGCAGGCCCCCTCCAGGTGACCCGGTCTCACTGCACCTCTGCCAAAGCCAAAACATCTCTCCCCCCTCTGCCTCCCTCCCTCACCCTTCCTTTCCCCCCCAGCCCACTCCGGACACTCAAGCTAATCATGCGTTTACAAGCCCCGCCTCCACCAGGACTGGACTCACTTTGTACTAACTGAGGTGCTGTTTTTGTAATTTATTGATTTTTTTTAATGATAGAATAGCCTAGATATATAACCACATCGGCCTTGTAACGTCTATTTATAAAAGAGTAAAAGGACAATGCTTCTAGTTACCTTTTCTAACTACTTTTTTGGATCAATTTGGATTTGACATTACGGGTTTTGGAGCGACCGCTTTGTTTTACTGTTTTTTTACGTCTCGCTCTCCTGGTGCTGTTACCTCTGAGCCCTTTTCCTCCTTTGTACATGTTTTTAATTTAAATGTTCTATTTATTGCAAATATTGACAATTGAGTTTTTATAAAGGGGCTGCTGATTTTGTTTCTTATTTTGTTGGTGCTGGCCTCTCCACTCCTGCCTTCTCTCTAAATATATATAAATCTTTATCTTGAATATTAATGCCACCTTTCCTGTAGACTATAGGCACACTGCTAACATAGACTGAGGAATGCTTCACACTTTCCAAAGGGTTATTTGTAATTTTATAAGACTTTGAGGCTTTTTTTTAGGTGAAATTGTAATATTTGTTTTTAACAGAATTCTTGGTGCTAAATGTTTTTAAACCTCTTTTGGTTTTTGTTGTTGTTGAAAGAATTCTATTTTTCCTGCTGCAATAGCCCTTCCTTTGTGTGCTCGTTATTCTAGCTGCACTGTTGGACACCACACACCAAACTGAGCCAGATATGTCTTAAAACACTTGTGAAATTGTGTGATTCTTAATAAACGCTTTTTGACAGTGACTGTGTTTAAGATCATTCTTATTATTTATGGTAAATTCGATTTTAAATAGTGCCTTCCAGAGTCAAAGCACTTTACGATTGTTGAAATTGTGTTTGGTTTTTGTGCATGTTGTGCTCACACTCATGACATTACAATTAGTTAGACTTTAAGAGAATTGAACATTAAGTGCTTTTTAGCAAACAAAATACAAGGGTTTATTTTTGGTTCAAATCTAATGATCAGACTGAGCTCACAGCGAGAGGGTCCCATGGGTGGTCTGTGTGGGTCAACACCCTCAGAGTCTGAGTGCTGTAAAAAGAAAAAAAATCATTAAAACAGTGCAAAATAAACAACTGCAAATCCAGCCGTCTTCATTTATTGGTAAACGGCAGTTGTCTTTCTGTCAGGACAAAGGTATTGATGTTAGCGACCTCAGCTTTGAGGCCCGAATAAAGAGGACTAATGCAGAGTATTTCAGTTTGAGTTGATGTAATGAAAATCCCTGGTGCTCCCACACTTTTACCCACATACCGATGCCTCTAAGCTGCCCTCCCCCACTGCTCTTCAGTCTCCAATCCAAGATTTATCAGAGCCCTCTGCCCAGTCAGGCTGGAAGAGGAATGCTTGGGACACTCTAGGAGAGAGGAGGGGCTGATAAGGCGTCAGTGGGAGGGGAAGACAAGTGATGGCTGGGGTACGCGATGTGAAACAGGTCAAAGAGGAGTTTCTGAAAAGTTCTTTAAAAGCCTTGCACACGGCAAGAGGAAGCAGCAACTCTCAATCCTCCCACGGAGCCAGCAGAGACCGGACCGTCCAGGAGGCAGAGGACCTAGCCGCAGTGAAAGAAGCACCCAGGCCAACCAGGAGGCAGAGGATCCAGCCGCAGTGAGAGAAGCACCTAGCCGTCCAGGAGGCAGAAGACCCAGCCGAGGTGAGCGGAGCAGGACTGTGACATGTTGGGGTTGGAAGACAATGGGAGACCACAGTATGAGTCACGAGGTCCATGTCACAGGAGGTTCATCTGTATAAGTCCAAACCCTGTGATCCTCAACAATCCGTGTATCATCCGTTCTTTTGATTTTCTAAATAAAACCAAAATTGAAAAAACTAAACGAGGGATGTTTTGAATCCGTGTACCCTTCGATCATTAGTTATTCCGTTTCAAAACAAAATCAGAAAAACAAATTTTCCATTCGTTTATTGTTATTTTCCTTTTCTAAACTTGAATAAAAAAATAAATCCTTTATGAATCCGTAATCCGTGTACCCTTCGATCATTAGTTATTCCGTTTCAAAACAAAATCAGAAAAACAAATTACGTGGTTTTATTGTATTTCCATTTTCTAAATTAAATTGGAAAATCAAAACATTCTAAATGAAATATTCACCCATTTCTTTGCTATGCAGTGGAAACAAACACTACTAAAACAACTTCCATTATTTTGTTTGATATGCTACCGGAAATGATGAGTGGTGAGAGACGGAAACAACTGCAAGCTGCACTCAACTCAACTACACGACAACAACTCGCGCTGTTGTTGAGCTCGCCCCCAGGCCCGAGCTCCAGGGGCAAAATGCTTACAGCACCTGGTATTCCCAGGCGGTCTCCCATCCAAGTACTATGGGGCAAACTTTGTGGGCGCTGCTCTTAAACAGAGAGAGCCGGCTTTCTCCATTCATTCTGGATTACACACGCACTCGGTAAGTCTCCTCTGATAAACACAATGTTTTTGTGCTCGTTCTTTGTTTCACTCCATAAATCTCTCATATTGTGCGTAGATCGTTCACACACGTCTGTAGTTTAAATCTCGAGTGTGTAGTGCGCTGTTTATGATTGTTTACCTCCGTGTCATATGTTTGTTGCTGCTGCTGCTCGTAGATCTCTCTGTTTGGATCGATATTGTAAAGAAAACACTTTCTCTGCGTTGTACAAACAATCTGTATTCACTGTATTCTACTGTATACAGTAATGCAGTTTGTTTACGTCTGGTTGTAGTAGTATTTCCAGCGCTAGCTAATTATTATTAGCTAATTATTGTTGATGTGTGTACTATCTATATGTATTTCACATTTCTATAGTTCAGCAACACATTGAGTTGAAAATGAATTATATGCTGTTAGTTTACGACAATGTATTAGTGTTTTATTTCATATAAAGTTCATATTTTCCTTCTATAACTGTACTTACTGTATCCCAGAGCCTCATGCTGCTAATGTCCAGATGTAAACATACAACTGTATATGTCTTCTCTAGATTATACAGGATTCATGCTTCTTTATAATGCTAAATTTAATTATTTTATTCTTTATTATGCTAAAGATATATACATTATACATACTTCTCTATCATGCTATAGCTAGATATTTTATGATCTTTTTTTGTTGTTACAGACAATATGAAGACATTTTCATTCTTTCCTGGCCGCGTCACTGTGATTTTTCGCAAGGGCCCACGTGGATTCCTGCTGCAGGACCCTTCGGAGGAGGCGAGGAAGATCAGGGACGACCCGTCCATGAGGGAGTGCGGTGCTCCTCTGAGGGAGGAGGTGGTGAGGGAGAACGCCCTCACTCTGGTGCGAGGAGGTGATGCCTCAGACAAGGCTGAAGTGCTGGGGGAGTACATCGCTCACAGCAGGCAGTAAGACCAGCACCGTGCCTGCTGTCACCATGCCCCCTGCAGCAGTGAACCCCCCTCCTCCTGCTCAGACTCTCATGTCACCGCTGTCTGAGGAGGCCATAGAGAAGGTTGTGCAGCGGATCTTGGAAAAGCAGCAGCAGCCTCCAGCAAATAAACCCCACACAAAGAAATTCCTGTCTTGTGGCCAGCCAAAATCCAAATATGAGGGCGATGGCAGCTCCATCCACGAGTTTTACCAGCAGGGTCCTACCAGGTATTTCTATTGCTCCACCAAGGTCTATAACACCTATCGCACAGAGGGTTTGACCAACTCCAGGATGCCATTCCGAGACTTTATGGACACTTGAGTTCTGCCAGAGAGAGCTGGAGGCCACGCAGCAGAGAGTGAATGAGCGGCAGGAGAAGAAAAGGAAGAGTGATGAGTCTCCTGCCACTGGGAGAAAGTGCGGGTTCTGGAAACTGCAGCTGAAGCAGAGACCAAACAGTCCTCACATTCATACACAATTCCCTGGTCTGTCAGGAAAATACATCTACTGCCCTGCCAAAGTATTCTCCCTGTACAAGGACCAGGGGATGGAGACGCAGATGTTCCAGCAGTCTCCTTTTTATGACCGGGAGAGGGAAAGGTGGCGTGTAAATAAATGAGCTATCTGCTGTCTATTGGTGCTATTGTATGTAGTTACTATATTATACCTGTCTGTTCATAAATGTTTATAAATATTCTAATTATTATGTAAATATATACTTAATATTGATTATATCTAATTAAATAATTTCATTTGTAAAGTCTGCATCTACAGTTCTGTATAGTCAGCTCTCAGCCGTCACAGTCACAGGGCTCATCACACAAATACTAGTTTAAGAAGATAAAGATAGCATGTTGTTGTTTTTCTTCTAAGTGTATTTCTTAAATTTGTAAATATCTCTTTTTTCATCTGTTCACAATAAATATATTATAATGTCATACATTATTGAAGTCTTTCTTTTTATTGATCATATTTCAGGGCAAACAGTAGTATTTGACAAAACAATCTGTATAGAAAATAGAGTTTCAGTTCAGTGCCAATCAACGATATGCCCACTATACGCGGCTGGCCCCCGCGGCCCGACCTTGCCTAGCTTCCGAGATCAGACGAGATTGGGCATTCTCAAGGTGGTATGGCCGTAAGCACGGGGGTATGGAGCAGCGTGCCTCCTGACCCTGCTGCTGCGGTCCTCTCCTCCCCCAGAATGAGCACTCAGGCCTGGGTCTGAGCGGGAGCAAAGCCCTCCCCGGCGATAGCCCAGAACCGGAGGAGTGCGTGGGTGAAACCCCCGTGTCTCTAGGTCCCCTGGTTCGTTTTTGACAAGCCCTGGAAGCCGAGGTTTTCCTCCCCCAAAATGAGCGCTCTTGGGCGGATGGTAGACGCGCGGTCCCCCGGTGGTTTCCAAGGGCCATAACTTTCTGGTCCTTTATCCCCCGCGCGTCAAATTCACACCG